TGTGACACTGCACAGGCCCATGAACTGCAGTTGTTCCTTTGGCCTTCTTTAGCTGTTTGTCCGATACATAATTGTGGTTTAATGATTTTGTGGTATCTTCTTCCTCAAACTTGGCCATTCCATCTCAAGTCTAGAGGTTGACACTCTCCGTTTTAGTTTGAGATCCATTAATGGTTGATGAGCCATGCCTTATCCAAATGATTTCACCATTCTGTTGGTCCCTGCAGTTCAATAGTTGCCTCTCTTGGAGGAAGGGTGACCACTTTAGGCTCTGAACTATTTCTTCAGTGCTAACCATATCTCAGTCACTAAGAAATTCTGATATGTACCATTTCCACTGTAATAACTTTCCTTCCATGCTGAGGACTCAGACTTTGAACAGATCCAATCCATCATTGTAAGTGGGGCCAAGATCACCATAGGATAGTTGGCCTTAAGGTTGTCCATGCCTCAAAAAATGTGCAGATTTTTTTTCTGAGAGGATATTTATTGTCCTTATATAGAAAGAGTTTGCAATAGAATCCATATGGTAAATGTAGGTAGACTCTTTTTGCTTTATGAAGAATCCATAGATGCCAATTAAGCAATAAATATGATGGTATCTATCATCAGGATACCATCTGGTTAAACAGTGGTCAAGGTTGCATGCACAGAGAAGAGCATAAAGGCAGCCTCAAAAGCTGCTCTTTGTTCCTGTCCCCATTGGAAATTAGCTGCCTTTCTATTAATTCTGTAGAGGATTTATAACAATAACCTGTAAATACTGCATCTGACTTTTGACCCTGAGTGGCATTGAAAACGTGAACTACCATACCTTTAAGAAACAAGTAAGCTATAAAGATGTGTCTGTCTCTTCAGGGATGAAAAGCATGGGCTATCACTGCTCTCTCAAACATCTTAGCTCCCAACCTAACTATGAGAGATTTAGAAAAACAGTTTGAGCTGTAGTAACCCTTTGAATTTACTTTAAAAAATGTAAATCTCTTAACTGTGATTTTTAACAGCAAACAATAAAAATATCCTTTTTGTTTAAGAAGAAAACTCAAAAGCTAATGTTCAAAATATCATGGGTCATGTTAAAATCTATAGTCTAACATTGTTGCATGGAATTGAAATATGTGGCACAAGAAAACACATGTTTCATTTTATGCCAGTAAGACAAGTGTGCCATTGGTAAATTATCATTTGAAAATTTTTTTAAAATTTCTTTTGGTCTGACCAAATGAAAGGCATTTGTTAGTTTTTGTATTAGCTTGGATTGAATGACCAAGCTGTCTGATGAACTCTCACCTCTTTTTATTAAGCAGGTCCTTTCTATTCAAAAATTATCTTTATCAATCCTGATGGTATTCAACACTATTCTTTCTCCTGTGAAAGCAAAGGCAAAATCTCTTCCCCAATGGAACACATATCTCAGTTTCCATTCTGAGGTTAACACATCTTTAAAATATACAAACTAATTTAACTCAGAAGTTCTTTGTACTATGCAGTATCTCTCTGTGCTATTGTCTGTTCTCATGGGCATATGAAAATTTGAAGTTAATAAACCACTGTGTAATCTAACTTTGGGAGTTTTGATGCTGACAGATAATGATTGGATCAAACTTGATATTGGGGCCTCCAGAATGCCTACTCAGAACATTTCCCAATGTCAAAGGGTTACCTTGTCTGTCCCTTCATGATCGAATTCAACAGTATGATGCCAGCCTTTGCCACACGTTCTGCATACTCCAGGAGCCTGAGATCTTTTTTAATTATCTCTAGAAAAAATGATGGGTATTCTATGCAGGGGCTTTACCCATGAGCCACAACATTCCCTGGATTTATTAAATATTGCACTGTATTCATGTTTATATGCTTCTGGACCCATAACTGAGTTTTGGGTCCAGAAGCTCAAAACTATCTACTAAGCCCATCTGCCACATTACTGCCATCACCCCAAGTTCCACACATGTATGTTTCCCTTTCACAGTGAGTTTACAGTCCCTGGTGGATACTTGTGATGTAGGTGCCATATCAGAAGTTGTAACATGTGAAGTGTTGCAGAGTAATGGGAATTACAGGGAGAGTGTAGGCAGTCATGGTGTGATGGGGCTAGGTAGCACCATTGGTAATGTCCAGGCTGATCTCCCAGTACAGGAGTCCTGGTCACCATCCTGCAGGCTGAGGAAGGTGGTCCCTAAGGCTTTATCTTGCAGAGTGGAATTATGGAGACTGAATGGCTGAGCTGTTTCCTCAACAGCCCTGGGCTTGCATCAGCTGCATCTTTAGCAAGACACAACCACACACCTCTGTACTTAAATCAAAACCCAAACTTCAGTGGTCATAGATGGCTGAAGTAGGGCCATGTCCCTGAGGCACCTGGCCCAAGCTGGATCCAGCAAGGTATCCCTCTTTGTTCAGAGAGTTTTCTCTATGTCCCATTACCTGACCGTGATCCACAGAGCCTATACTAAATAGATTCTCTGCAGCAAGTCTGTCATTTGGCCTCTCTTGCCTCCTCCTCCAATAGCTAGCCAGGATAACCTGCTGTACCTTCAAAGCCTCCTGTAGCAGAATGGATTCTTTGGCAATACTGTAATCTGGAGGGGCCTGGGTTTTCATGAGTGGCCATCCTGAGCCAGGATGCAACCAGGGACCTCTTCACTAAAACTTGGTAATGGGTACCAGATTCAGGACAGGAGCTGACCCAACTCAGAACCTGTGTTTCAATACCCCAGATGCTGAAAATGTTTCTCATTTAAATGTTTGGAATGGAAAAAATTCAAACAATTATTTTGTTACCCTTGAAGGGATTCCAGATCATGTTTTGATATTCATCAAATCTTGGCATCCAGATTGGCCTCTTCAGGGGTGGGAAATATTCAGATTTTAGGAATTTGAATTTGATCTCAGATAAAACAAAGTACAAAAGGGGTGGAATATATAGGGCCAGAATGACAAACAGGAAAATAAAGCAATATATGGACAATAAAGCCATTAATTGATGGGGATGTGATTTGTTACCACAATCAAAAACACAGATTATATTTTAATGACTCAAGGCCCTGTGTACACACAACACAAATAAACCAGGCACTGTCCACTGTCTGAAATTCAGGTCAGCAAATACTTTATCTATTTGGCTCTAGATAGAAAGCCACAATGCCTTCCTTGTCCTTAGATTCTCCATTGGCACATCTTGGGGAATTCTAGAGTCTGGAGATGCCTTGCCATGCCCAATAACACATAAAGTCAACTTGGAGTATAATATCAATTTATGAAATGCCCAAACTTGACCTGTTACCTCCACACATGCACATTCACACAAAGAACACACACAAAATGATACAACTGAAGGCTAGAGACATGATTGTGGTGGTAATGATACTTGTGGACATACATGTTTTATATCTGAGAACCATCCCTGGGAACCACATGGTTGAAGGAGAAAATGGATTCAGGTAAGTTGTTCTCTGATTCCCACACATGCATGCCCTCACCCCACATTAATGAATACATGCAGACTTAAAAGTTTTATGAGTATACATGAGATACATGGGATTAAATCCTGCTAATGGTCCATTTATTGTCTTTCACCTCTGTTGAGTGACTTCACCTCCTTATGCCTGTTATTCAGACAGACATAAGTGCACCACACTTGTTACTATAGTTACAATAACCAGTTGAAACCATACCCAGAATTGGTCTGGCCACGACTGTCTTCCTTCTCTCTTTCAGTTTCCCATGTGAGAATTGGAAGGATTTTGCAATACTTTGCACCCTGGGCATTTTTTCAGTTTTGTGTAATCTCAGCCCAGTGTGCTCTACAACCGAGCAAGACGGAAGCCTCTTTTGCATCATTCTCCTTGTCCTTGTCCAGGGACTCCTGGGCTCAGCTCTGGCCCTGGCATGCTCACTCACCCTCTAATGAGGCCAATGAAGATGCAACTAAGCCATGACCATGGACTCAGCAGTGTATATCTCTCTCTTCATAAGCAATGCCTCACACTGCATTTGTGGCCCTAGCTTACATGCGACTCTCAGGATATTTCGACTCCAAAGAGGATTGAATCCTGGGCCTTTTCTCATGCTTCCATGCTGAAATGCTGGCATTTCATTTCAAGCAAGGTTCTGGGATATAATCCAACCCCAGAAACATTCTGCTCTCATCATGCACCTCTGGCTACTATCTGTGAGCCCCCAAACACACAGTTAGTCCACTCTGTGCTCTGGCTAGCTCACTCTCTAGTCCAACATTGTTCTCCAGGTACTTAGGAAGCCAAGCCAAGGGGCAAGGTTCAAGGACTAACGTGTGAGTTCTAGGCCAGTCTAGACAACTGAGATAGACATCTATCTCAAAACACATACACACAGTTTATTTTAACAAAAGTTGGTGTTTGCAGTTTTGGTTTGGTTTTGAGGCAGGTTCTCAGTGTAGACCTCTATATGAAACACTCAGCTACATCAATGTTTTCATATCAGATGAATAGATCATTGAATAGAATACTTGCTCAGCACACACAAGACCTCTGCATAAACAGGGCATGGTAGTAAAACCTGTCATTCCAGTAACTTGAGGTGGAAGCAGAAATGTCTGAAGTTCAAGGTCAGCCTGAACCTCATCAGCCTGTTTAAAAAAAAAAATCAACAATTAAGAAAAAAATATTAGTGCTCAGTGTTCATCATGGCATGGCTCATCAGGTAAAAGTGATTGCAACCAAGACTGATGGACCTGGTCTGGTCCTCAGAATAGAAGTGGTAGAAAGGAAGAACTGGGTCACACAGGCTGACATCTGATTTCAAACTGTACTATTCATGTGGACTCACAAAGGTTACCAAAATTAAATGATTCTTAAAAGAAATAAAAGGGGATGAGAAATTGTTTAGCAGTTTAGCACTTGGTGTGGACTGCACAGTGACCATTGCTTTTTTGGCAAAGTTCCAGCATTTCCACATTGCCGATCTTAATTCTCCAGGATCAATTTTATTTCAATTTTAATAATTCTCACTATACATTATGGAGTTTCTTTATGCCTTTTACTGTGGGAAATTTATTTTGCTGGAAACACTGGAGGATGGGACATATACATAGGCAATGCAGTCTCTTTAAACAAAATTCTTGGAAATAATCCCAACCAACATGCAACCACAAAATGTGATTACTATGCCTACTCCCACACAAGAGTCCCCAATGTGTTCCCCTGATTACACCAAACATAGAGAACTTAATGATGTACTAACTGGACACACCTAGTTGCCAGGATGAAAGCAACTATGAAAGGAAACAATGGGTGCACATCCAGAAAGGCATTAAGATACTTGCTGAATTTATCACTTGTTGCCTCTGGAAAAATGCTGTAATGGGGTTGATGGCTGCCTTTATCCTGGAATCATTAAGTCTGTTTTTAACCTGCTTGAGTCTAAACTTAGATTCAGTTACAGAGCATAAACTGTGTAGTTGTTTTCAATAAATCATCAGCCACAGTGCTTCATGCTCACATCATGGCAGTCTCCTTCCTCTACTGTCCAGTATGAATATTTTCATGACTGTGAAGATTACTCTTCTTTGCAAATACTTTACCACATTGGTCACATTAATAGGGTTTCTCCACAGTATGAATTTTTTCATGACTTAGAAGGCTACTCTTCTGTAAAAAGGCTTTACTACATTGATTACATTCATACGGTCTCTGCAGTATGAATTCTTTCATGATTTTGAAGACTAATCTTCTGTGCAAAGGCTTTACTACATTGGTCACATTTATATGGTTTTCTCTCCAGTATGAATTCTTTCATCAACTAGAAGGCTTCTCTTCTGTACAAAGGATTTACCACACTGATTACATTCATAAGGTTACTCTCCGGTATGAATTCTTTCATGACTGTGAAGAATACTCTTCAATGCAAAGGCTTTACAACATCGATTGCATTCATAGGGTTTTTATCCAGTATGAATTATTTCATGGGTGAGAAGATAACTCTTTTTTGCAAAGGCTTTACCACATTGATTA